TGGTTTAACACAGAGGAAAAGAAGGGCGTGTTTACTGGCTACATCGAACCAACTTTGTGCGACGTAGCGCAAACCAACAAACCATCTTTTATTGAGGTGGTTCAAAATGCTGTCAATCATGAAGGTTTGGGTAGCCTCATCATCATCGTCAACAGCAGTACATCAGCCATTTGAACTGATGCTACGCTGCCATACAACCATGTGGACCTATGAAATAAAGAATAAGAAGAGGGAGAGAAGGGGGACTTACCTGAAAACCCTAATGCGCTAAGCAAACATTCAGGGTCAAGGCGCCTACATCTTGTGTCAACAACCTACCGTCACAAACAGCCGGCTATCGTGCAAAGATAAGACGGCATCGGCGAGACTGCTTCCTTGCGGCTTTCGCTGCCCCGCGTCACAATCAGCCATTACCCCGCAGATAACAGCACCAAACACACTTTAAACAGGCAATCCGATTAGGAGACGGCAGCAGACGCGCCACTGGTGTCTACAGCGAGCCATGTCCTGTAAAGTCTCGAGCCAAGCACAAGGCGTGTCACGTGGACTCCAGCCCGGAAGGAGAGACGGACCAATGGCACTCAGTTTGGTCGTCAGTGACCTCATTTCGCGCTGCCAAGTCGACTTCTGTCCACCGCGAGCCTTGCGCCACCCTACACCTGGCAGACTAAACAAGACCCTCCTGAGTAAGCGGTGACCAGGCATACGTAGCACCTGCCCGAGCCAACGCAACTTATTCAGTGCTATCTGTTGTTCTAGGGAGCTAGCATGATTATCACTATCTAGTACTTGCCTACGCACGTCATCGTTGCGGACACGCTGGTGCCATCCGACACCAGCAATGCTTCGCAGACAACGATGATCAAAAACTTGTAGGCGTCTCAGACCGAAGGGGCCAAGTCTCACTACCATAGAGCAGAATGGCCTTCACTGTGGCCTTGTATACCCGGCGTTTCAGACGGAGGAAAACTCCCTTCCGTCGCCAAAAGTGCTGCAGGTTCAAGAAGGTAGCTCTGACGTTTGCAGTGCGTGAGCTGACGTCAGTTTCTATGCGCCCATCATTGCTGATGCAGCTGCCAAGATAAGTGAAATGATCAACCACCTCGAGTTTTTCGTTAGTAAGCGTCAAACGGTCATCAAGTGGCTGGTGGTCCTGCAGCAACACTTTGCACTTTGAAGATTCAAAGCAAATACCAAATAATGGGGCCACTCTGGACAGGCTATTCAGGGTTGATTGTGCCGTCGCAACATCGTCGAAAAGCAAGACGATATCGTCCGCATAATCTAGATCAACTAACCTTTCACCAGGCAGCACTTCGACGCCTGCATTGTGAGATTCCGCAAGGAACACTCCATGATAGAATCCACGACGAAATTGAACAAAAATGGGGAAATCGGACAAACCTGACGGACGCCACGATAGGACACCGTAGACCCTGACGCGACCTGTAATGTTCGAGTATAGAGCACGAAGATTGTTCACATATTTCGTGGGAACACCTTTCCGCTCAAGTAATTCGAACAGAATCGATCGATCGACTGAATCGAACGCACTCTTGAAATCGAGAAACGCAGCTATTGTCGGCCTGCGGTATGTGTGGCGCTGCTCTAGCACCTGCCGCAAAGTGAATATATGGTTTATACAGCCATGTCCTGGACGGAAACCGGTTTGCTCTTCCCTAATCCGAGATTCCCGTTTCGCAGTGAGGTGACGACCGATAATCGAGGCCAGTAATTTTGTCACAACTGTCGTTAGGCTAATACCTCTGTGGTTCGCACAGTCTGTGCCACTGCCCTTCTTGTATATTGCCACTATAATCGATTCGCTCCAGTTAGCCGGTACACTCTTCCTTCCAGATACGTTCGAATAGGGAGGCCAGTGCTTTGCAGAGGACCTCACCTCCATCCTTAAATAGTGCAGGTGGGAGGGAATCCGGGCCAGCGGCACGAAAACGGTTAAGGGCTGTGGTCGCGTTTCGGACCTCGGTCTCCGACGGAGGCTCTAAACTAACCGTCCATGGCTCGTCCTACATCACCTGAGTGGGAAAAGGTCCAGGAGCATGGGGCTAATTGAACTGATGTTGAAAGTGTCCTGCCCAACGAGCTATACTGCGCTGCTTATTGTGTATCAACCCACCCGCGCTGTCTTTGATTGTCTCACTGACGCCTGGTTTTCTGGGACCAGTGGTGCGGATAAGCTGGAAGAGCTTGCGGTAATTGCGTACTGCATCTGCCTCCTCCATTTCTTGAGCCCTACTGGTCCACCAGGCTTCCTTGTCAGCACGTAGGCTCTGCTGTAGATCACGCCTAATAGCCCGTCTGGTCACATTGTGTTCAGAGCCAGCGGTGAGGTTTCTTCTGGATTCCAACAGGTTCACGGACCTCTCGGATATCCAGTGACTGGTGCGGTTACGACTGATAGTGCCACAAGCAGATGCTCCTGCGTCGTGCATAGCGGCCGAGATCCTATTCCACTGGAGCTCAGTGTCATTAGGATATGACAGCAGAACTTCAGTATACAGTGCTTCTTGATAGGCTTGCCTAACCGAGGACTGAGACAATTTGTCAGTTGCCAATCGTTGGGGACGCTTGGTGCGCCTCCCGGTAACGTTCATGGAGAAACGACAGCGTACCAAGGCATGATCAGAGTCGACACAGGTACTCCAGTACGAGCGGCAATCCAGGATGGAACCACGCCATCTGTAACTTATGGCTAGGTGGTCAATTTGGGTCCATCGCTGGCCAGCTACAGGAGGACGCCAAGTGGCACTTCGGCGTCCACTGTGTCTAAAAGCAGTGCTACTAAGAAACAACTGGTGCTCCGCACACAGTTGCAGCAGACGCTCACCGTTGTCAGTCCGTTCGAAGTTAAGTCCACAACTACCACCCAGCTGAGCTTCTGAAGAGCTCAGACGCCCTACTTGTGCGTTCATATACCCTGCAAGTACTATAAATCTGAACTAGTAGCACTGCGTAGTAGGGCGTTCAGTCCGTGATAGATTGTGCCCTTGACAGCATTAGAACTGCAGTCGGTGGGAGCATAAACGGGAATCACAAACAAACAGCTTTTTGTTCTACTTCGTGAATCAACCTTAGCTGATATCGTCAAACCGGCTGTACATAAACGGCTGTTCACAAGAATCCAATCAAGCAACAATGGCAGATCGTTGGAGCTTAGAATGAAACCTACACCAGCTTGACCCGTGAGTGCTGCATCGGCGTCTCCGGATGCGTGCAACCAATAACGAGAGGAGAAGCCGGGTGCAGTTAATTCAATAACCCAGTTAGGGTCATCAATCCTACTTTCGGACACATAACACACATCAATACGCAGTGTGTCCAAGGTGCGTGCGAGTGCAGCCTGTTGATCTGTTTGTCTTAGAGTGCGGACGTTGAATGTCGCCGTGAAAACGAGATAGCGTGGCCTTATAAGGGACTTTCGCCGATAGGTGCTGTGGAATGGTGGCTGCAGATGGTTCTACTCCAGTAGCACTTCGGTTGCTGTCAATTAAGCTGGGAATTATAGAAGGAAGGTTAGTAATGGGGGTCGGGATGGGAGTAAGAGAAAAAGCTGGAAAAGAAAGAAGAGAGGCGCCAGCAGTAGCATGTTTTCGCTTATCCGCCCTGCTGTATGCAGCAGATAAGCCGACCCTTGATAATCTGCGCGACGGCCGATGCAGGATGGAATTCATGTTTGAAGAAAATGTCATGGTTGTATGTGGGCTGAGATACTGCCAGGGCGCCCAGACCTAGACAGGAGGACGATTAGGGTCCTCATCCAAAGCCTTTGGCTCAAAAGCCGGTCCGCAAGGCAGCGGGGTGGCAATGATTTAGTTTTACAGAAATGGACGCCATCTCATTTCAAACGCCTAACCTGGAGGACCAGGAGACTGAGTTTGTCTGACCTCTCACCATTGACCAACCTGGTAGGATTAGCTCTCCAGGTGCCCGGAGGCATCACCCAGTATAGCTCAATGGGTCAATGAGGTACACAAACCGTCGCACCACGTTAAGATCCAGTCTCGTTGCGACGAGTAGCCTAGTCGTTGTTGTTGATCATTTCACTTGAGAGTGTTAAGGGTTCGATGCGTCAGTAACAACGAACTTCAAAATTTCCAGGATGGTTCACTCTCCTCTCCCGAAGCTGGAAGTGTGTTGACTATTTGTACTGACGAGCGAACTAACGGGAGCATGTGTCCAGTACGATAATTTTGCACACGATTGTTACAGCATTGTTATTGGTGAACACATCCAAAATGGCAGCTCATTGCATTAAGGGGCACTAACCGCGCACTCGCAAGCATACTACTTGTTGGTTATGTCGCTCATCTGTGGCGTGGTTACCTAACTAGATATCTAGCTGCACTGAATATGTGGTACCAATCGAATCCATCCGCAGAGTTTTGGTTGATTAGAATCCGATCATCTTCAGTGGGGTGGGAAACTCCGCTGGTGTACATGTGGTAGTCGTTTGCCGGACGCTCGCTTGCATATTGATGCATTCGTTTCCCCTTCATTTGTCATATTGTAAACCCCTTTCTGTGACCTCTTCCCAGTCCGAATAAGCTGTATTACGTCATCCGAATTGTGGTATTCAAAAGAACATTTTCTCTTCTACGTAATCGGGGATTTTGCACACGCGTCTGTTTTATTTGTTATGAATAAAACCTCTCCTTTTCTTTATCCTTTTACATCATGTGCATCACCGTTTTCTCCAGTAGTGGCGCCCATCCCTCCCCTCCCTAGATTTATGTTTGCACCTGAATCAAACTGAGCGGAAACTCTTGTAACGGAGACTTACACCTAGCTCAGATATCCAGTCGACTTCATCCAACCACGCCACTCACACTTTTCACCTATCCTGAAGGCTAGAAGTTTCACTAGTAATAATAGTAGTAAAAGTGGTCCGAGCAGATCACCCGTCTTCGTCACACCTATGCTGCTCGCTCTCTATTCGTATTATCCTGTGAATGTACTTTCTCTCCATCTTGACCATACAGGAAAATCTCCTCCTTTCCAACCTTTTGGCTGGTTCTGCGAGGGGTGACCAAGCGTGGACTCCTTGCTCTCCTAATTCTCCAAATAGGCATCGATCAAATCCGGCAGCGGCGAACGAAACGGATGAAGGTCAACAGCTCTCTGATTTGCCCAGTAGTTCGTCAGTTTCCATTGCCATTGAAAGTCCAGATGAAGCAGCACTTAAGCCATCTTTGTCTTTAACAACTCCTTTTGTCAACTGCCGTTCCTCTCTGCCTACGGATGCTGTACCCACCATGGATTTCGTTTCGTCCGGGTACCACAGCTCTGGAGAACTCATTCATGATTCTCACACGGTGACGTTCATTGAGGCAAATGATTCTGTTGACGAGCCCTCGAAGTCCACTGAGTTTATCATTCCTTTTTCTGCTTCAAATCTGGACGCAACCCTTCAACTGAAAGACGATCAAACAGCTCTCACCTCTGCGCCTGAGAGTGATTGCGTTCGTTTCCAGTTGTCCCCACTTTCGCTGAGGTGAGTCGTAAGTGTTTGCTGCTGATCGAGATTTATTCCAGCTCTTCATGCTTTCATTATATGTGTCATTACCTACCTTTCTCCTTAGCTTTTGCTACTCATTGGCTAAGTGTCGGGGATGTACATACCACCTCCTGTTCTTTTCATATCCGGCGGAGTTTTTACATGCGTGTACTTAACAGCGCGTGTTTGTTCATCGTTCTCTCTGGTTCATTCGAGTTGGTTAGACCTTCTACTCTTGACTTCTTTGCCCCAGACTCGAGCCGCCACCCTTTCCTGGGTTTGGGCGTCCCTTAAGTGTCCTATTCCGCAGTAGATGCTTGCAGTTGCACTGCGGCATATCATCGGTGCCATCTATTGACATGCCCCGATGATCGACCGATGAATATAGCGTCTACCTTATACCACGCAGGTCCCCTCTGTGAATTTGGTTAGATACGGGTGACCTCGGCGCACCACCGATGGTAGTCGCGTTGTAGCGAAGGCTCTCCACTGCGCGCCGGCCAGCACCTATTTCTTCCTTATGTGCTACTGATATTCCTTACCTTGGGTATATTTGGATATAAGAATAATAATCATGATAATAATACGCATATTTCTCTTGATGAGAGAAGTTGTGTTTACAACGGCACATCTCAATTTGTACAGAAGAATCCATGCTCTTGCATGGGTGACATGCATAGATGGAGTATTGGGATATACGTTTCATGTATTAACATTCTGTCGGATGGTTGAGGCCAAAGCCTAGTTATGAAAACATGGGTGTTTATATGTTTTTGGGCCCCTCTTGGAATAGCTCATCGAGGGATTTTCCCATGTGAATATTGAGCTTAGGGTAGTTAGATCAAGGTAATTGGCTAGTCTGGTACTAAATGTTGCCACATTATCACATGACCTGAGTGTTATTGGTAGTTTATTCAACAGATAGCTGTATGTGACCAGGAATAAATTAGAGCGGATTTTCGTTCTAGCCTTCGGTATATTCAATGGAAAATCTTTGTTGCGAAGCAACAATGTTGTAAATTGAGTGTAAGCAGGTTGGAATAGGTCTGTTTGTGTAACAGGTTGTAAAGCAGCAGCAACTTGTGCTTCAATCGTCAAATCCAAAGTGGTTAAAGATGAAGTTCATTGCAACCTTCTCGATAACTCATAACAGAGTGTTTGCCAATCAGATGTCTAGTAAATGACATCTGCAGATTATTCACAGCAATTCTGTCACTCTCATATTTCTGTATATTATGCTACAGTATTCAAGGATGGGTCGAGGGAGTAGCTTGGAAACCTCAACTCTAGCACGAGTTGTGTGTGTTTTGTTTGATATGTTGTAGATAGACTGTCTGGCACGTACTACTTATTATTGGGCTTGTTCGGAGAAATTGTAGGTAGACGACTACCTAATGTCCAGATCTCTCGTGGACATCTGTGTAAGGACGCGTTCATTGTTTAGAGTGATAGATCCTTCGGGGATGCAGCAGCCGTAAGACATGATGCTTGATTTCTTAGCCGAGAGGTTCATCACCCACGTACAGCACCATGACTCAAATGAATGTACATCATTTTAAATGAGCACTATAATGTCCCGTAAAGCTCGTCACGCCGAAGCTTATAGACTATTTTGATATCGTCAGCAAATAAAATGATGTGCCATATTTTGCAGATGTGGTGATCTCGTGGGTACTCTTATTTTTCTCCCACTCTTCCTCTACCAAGTCATTTTTGACCATGTCAATTGAACGTTCTCTTCTTATGATGAGCCTTCTCTCGCTTCTGACCTACGCGCTCGAATCCCATTGTTTTCTTCCCCAGTCCTTCCGAATACGATGAACTTCCTGTGCCAAAATCTGCCTCAATCCCTGCCCTATTGCAATCACCGAGTCATCCTTCTTTCCACGAGTGTCCTCGTTTCTTCAAAGACGTTGTTTCGGCCAGTGACATAACTAGTAAATGGTCGCCCACAACGCGTGTCGCACCATCGGATGCTGCCGAAATCATTCTCAATGTTACACCGACTCCCTCCATCTCACCCTCGAAACAAAGGATTACTTTTCTGCATGATGATGAAACCGAGAAGAATAAAAGAGCTGATCGTGTGAGTTGTTATATTCAACTTCTCGTCAGAGCGATCCATCTCCAAGCGGGTTCTGTTTTTGCAGAGCTAAAAAAAACTTGACTCGTACTGCTTTTGGTCCATTGATTATCTTGCATTCCGTTGTATGCTTTCTGTGGGGTGTGTTCATCATGCGGTTGACCAATTTTGACGATTTAATCAAACTTGACTCGCCATCCTTATCCTATATGTTTCCACGCTCAGATCCAGTTTTTGATCACATTCTACCCCATTCATAGTGCAGGGTCTAGGGCCTTCTGGTATGATTCACAGGATTTATTGTTTTGGGGTCATTTCAGCTCGCTTATCTTCCGCTACAGATGATCTCTTTTCAAATGTGGCTAATGCGGATACATGACAATAGATCCGTAGATGATGTTTAAATGATGTACCAAAACCCACTTTCCCAGATTGGCGTCCTATCTCACTGTTGTGTTGAACACTCCACATTATTGCCGTGTATACTTGTTGATCTTGTTTTGTCACCGTGGATCGTCTGTATTTCCCAAATTTCGCACCTTTGCATTTGCGTTAGGGGTTCGGATGCTTGGGTTACGACCTTTGCCTTCCTAATGTGGTTCTCTGCTCCGACGAATATGCCATGTCCCAACCCGTTTGCGCTTGCGAGGCATCCGCACGACTTTCCAGCGTGCTACTTCCGCATCGGCTTCTAATACGCTTATTACTTCGCGCGCCTTATAATGGGTGTGGTCTATGTTCCCTCGACCGTTTTACCAACTCCAAGATATCATCACTTGCACAATGAGACTCTGCATCGGGTTTTCCCATTCATTCTCAACACGTCTTCAAAGTAGAGTCTGTACACTCCAGCGGCGAATTTCCAACCATCACGTTAAATGTGCTTATTGAAGTGTTGCATTTACTAACCATACTCATTTACTGAGTTTCTTTCAAGGAATCGACGGTTTAACTTGGGTCTAATTTTCATTACGGTGACATAAGAGCACGACAGTTGTAGTAAGACCTAATCGTGTATTGGTTGAACAATCGTATTCCGAGGGAAAAGTGCAACTTCGTGTAGAGGCTTTTTAGTAACCTTAGAATTGACTAGAGGCTCTCCGGACATGTCTTCACGTCTAAAGCATCATGTATGCTACATCACAAGCAAACTACGTCGTGCGATTACGACACATCATTTATTACGTTGTTGGATGGCTGCTTCATGCTTTCGAGACTTGTCGGCAGGGCACACTCCGTCTGACAAGTGAACAGCTGGAACGTTGACTCAATGGCTAAAACCGTTTGATCACTGGGGGATGTCGACGACCCACGTGATTGGAATATTGTGCTGTAGCTCCCTGCCCACCAAATTGTGCATTATTGCTACGCATGGTACAGGATAGCCACCCATGTACGGCTTCGCAAATTCAAGTTTCCATTCAACTCATGGGCCATGAAAGGTTGAAGTAGATTGTCAGTTACGGGTGATTTTCGGTCGTGTGCCTCAAGCTCATCACAGTGAATCTGGTTACCTTACCGTATCAGCAATTTGCGTTTGTGATGTAACCCTAAATCTTCCCAACTCGTGTATTTTCGGATTAATGCAGTTTAAAAGTCACGCTTTCAATAGCCTGTATTTGTCGTGACTCCCATGTTCATTTTTTGCCTGGGAACAAAGGCCTCGCATTTGTACTCACCGTGGCTGTCGTAAACGTTTACCCCTTATGGACAAGCAGTTTATTCAGCAAAGGTAGCTCAGCGAAATTGGCGGCACACTTGACCAACCAAGCGCCTCTTTTTATCTCATCCATACACTGTTATCAGCAACGACGTGTTTGTACTGATGTGGTTCATCCTCTGACACAGTTAAGCAAACTACGATGAAAAACTAACCATGGCGTACTCAACATCAGCCAATCAGCGGAACTACGTGGAGTGATGAATCCGCCTATTGCTTCCACCGACCGAATCCGTCAGGTTCAGGTCATTAGCTGTCTGTCTGATTCACTTAGTCCCGCTGTTTATTTCGACTGTCAGTTTGATAACTAACAAATTGCCTATGGTGTGAAAAGAACCGACAAGCCATCACGATGGATGTAATTTTCGTGCTTTCAGTGTGAAAGGCTTCAATCAGTACATGCAATGTAAATGGAAGTATTCTGATTTGGAATCACTTGGACGACCTGTGCTCCGCAGCGCAGGGGTTTCCATGCCAGTTTTTGCTCCATGCCTGACCTTTCATTTTTCAATACTGAAGCGTTGCATGACAAGGATTCCTGCTGTCTTGCAGTTGATAGTAATGACAGTAAATATGAATGAAGTTCCTTAACGTTTTAGAGATTTTCGCGACAAGAACTAAACGATTTCATATAAGACCTCGCTTTATCAAAACAGGCAGCTGAACTGTTAACGTCTTAGCTCAAATAAAAGAACTGCTCTTAACCGAAACCTAAAATAGCAGCTGACCTCACTAGGAAGGAGGCATTTCTCCCGTCTTTCACTGAAGTTAGAAACCTTGTCTACTGCAATGGCATTGCTGACGTTTCTGCTAATAGGACAACCTGGAGACCTTTTATGGGCAACTGCAGCAGCAGTTGGAAGTGTTTCCTATGCACAACCACCACCATTATACACCTGTGCTAATTGATCATTCAACTAAACTTTAAGAAGAGTTTCAAAGTATCAAAAAGTTTTGGTGAAATTATGCTATTATCGATCACAACTGGATTGTTTGCAAGAAGTTAAACACGGGGAACATCTTGCTCAGATCACAAGTTGGCTACGCAAAGTTTTATTGCTTCATGTACTTATGGGACAGTGGGGCTCAACGGTAGCATTGGAAGAAACTGACTTGGTCTATCACCCTGCGTTGAAATATGTTCCCTTGAGACGGTTCTACGGACGGCCGCATTACTTCACCTAAAAGTTTGCTTATATTGATATTTTTCTCAATTTTTTAGTACATTCAGTCTGTCACTCATACCAATGATCGGAAAGTTGCCTACTTTATGCAATCCCGCTGTACACATTGATCATACCATTCATTTATCCTTTGCCTCGCACTGTCGAGGAATATATGGTTTATTTATCTAAAGCACTGGACGAAGATGGCGATTGTTTCAAGGGTATTTGTAAATTATTCCTTAAACTGAGTATGAAGAAACTGAAAATTACCCTATTCACTGATCATAAAATTCAACAACCCAATAACGATCGCAATTTCACCGCATGTTTGAACAGTTCTGAAGCATCTGCGTGGGTTGCTTTTGTCTTCGTAGTCCAGAGCTTCCTTGGTAACCTTAAGGCAACTGAAGAACTTGCAGAGATCGTTCAGTAAACGTCTGTTTGGAATGCCCTCTCGAAGCTCTTACGCATAGTGCTGCAAGGCCTTAAAACTAAACCCTGTATGGCTCAGGCGGATGAAACTTAACACAGGTCTCTTATTCGATATCATGCACAAGCGAGTTCATGCGCCAAGCCTGGATTTGAAATTTCAAGATGGGCCAAACTATAGTATTCGAAAGAGGTACAACTTGCTAAAAATTGAAAGGCCTAGAACTTAGGCACATGCGAATTTTTACCTGAATGTTTACGCAAAGATATGGAACAGGCTACCGTCTAATCTGCGAAAATGTACATCACCTGAAATCTTTCGTAAGTGGATCCACACCTTGTTAACTGTTAAAAAGGCCACGTAGCTGCTGAGACGAAATATCACAGAGGAAATATCATACGAAAACGGTCTAGCAGATATCTAAGTTATGGTATCAGTCGCCACCTTCTTATCCTTCCGTATTCAACATTTTGACACCCAGTAACTGTTGGCCTCAAGAACCATTCTGGCCTGCGCCGCACTAATGCAAGAAAGTGCCACACTGTAGCCTGCAGAACAAAACCTTTAGATATAAATAATGGATTTTGACGAATTTTTTGGTCTGCGACCATCTTAACGTCTATTTATTTATGAACCAGCCGTTTTCTGAATTTCTAACCAATTCTTTTTCCTGTCGGGAGATATCAGCACAAAACTACCGAGTGTTTCATGACATCCGTCAAAGTCAATTCTTATACACCTCGGCTGCCAGTGATACCTCGATCCGGAACTTCTTTTCCTGTGACAAATTGAACAGAAACTGTTCTCAGTCATCCATTTATAAAATTCGACCGGATCAACCGCAATCCTTATCTCACGGATGAACCAGATTTAGTCTGAACATCCTCAAATAATTTCTTTATGGTAACCGCACCAACTCACAATCAGCTGGTTTAATGGGACCAAATTACGGATAAGATATTACAACATAGAAGTTTTGTACTCAGCAACTACATCGGCGACATGTTTATATCCAGTAAAAAACCGATGAAGTTTGAAGTCTAGACAAATAAAGGTGGACTAAGCATCATATAGCATATATGTAGTACCTCGGAGCTAGTTCGAGGCAAATCATCCTTCGTACATCAATGTGGCTGTTCCAATTGTCTTGCTTCTTCTTGTCATATCAATCATACGCGTAAAATATGTGCAAACCGATACACGCCTACTTGCATTCGTTCACATTGACGTTGTTTCGATCGTGAGATTTTGTGGTATTGATTTTTCGCGGTTCCCAAATGATTTTTTTATTCCAGGGGCCGCAGTCATTTTTATTCATTGCAGATGCTGTGGAATGCGCATCTGACATGTATTTTTTGTCTACTGGAAAACTGGCTGACATTATTTATCCGTGTGACAGTGGGAATTCGATGTTAGTTTTCCAAATTCTTTTAATGACACAAAATTACTATCAGACAGTTGGAATGTTCGAGCTTCTTACTTAAGTACTTCTATGATTCTGCTTAGTTTGCCGATGTCAGAGGTTGTTCCGGCTGTTGGAGATTCATCGAGATGCCTCATTGAGAATATTATGAGATCCGGCGTTTCGAAATGCACTTAAAACTGATCGGAAAGCACTTTTCCTAACGACGGTTCTGTCTCCCAATCGGAATGTTACTCACAAAGTATACTAACCGGTTGTTTCCTA